GCCTCTCAGGCTGAGAGAAGACCGGATGTGTGTGACGCTGACAGGCCAGGAAAGCTAACTGACACTGAACACCCCCCTCCTCCCCATTGGCTGGCATCTGTCCCGTCCCGAGGAGTTTACAGTGCTGCAGCACCAGGGCTGCTCTGTGGTTTCTCAGCTCTGATCACGTGCTTAGGGAATAGAACAAAATCAGTTATTTGTACCTGCTTGATGAACCTTTATCTGCAAGAATGATCATCTAATGCAGCTGCATGTGAAAAATACATAACAGTAACTGATGAAAATGTTTTTTTTTTCTGAGAAGCTTGTATGAGCACTGACTAGTGCCTAATGGTGTATCCTGAAAATACAGTCTGGAGAAGTTATAATTTACCAGGTTTTGAGTTGACATTGGTCTCTGTACTAAGACATTGGGCTCTTTTTTTAACGATCTAATGCAAAATCGTAAAGCGCAATTAAGGCGCAACTAACACCAAATCCATCTTGCTAATATGACGGTGGACAAAACAGGCTTCACACCAGCCCAGTCCTAACTCTCTTAATTATTCAGAGGCGTATTTTGGGCATAACATGCAATAAACCAATCGGAATGGCATGTGACCTCACCTTTAAAAGGCAGGGGTGCATGAGGTATGGTGTATTGCCGTTTTAACGGCGCGTTTACGTGGCAAATTAGATCGGTTTCTGGCCAAGTAAACAGATGTGCGCAGCGTGAAAATGCAGGAGCACATGTTTACGGGAGCACCACTGTTCCATCTAAGCCTTTCGAGGTGAAACAGGCTTGGGATGAGGTAGCGGCGAGTGTGTCCTCTCGCATCATTACGTCATCCGCAGAGTACCGAAAATGGTATGATGATGTCAGAAGACAGAGAAGCTCGCAACAATAACACGGAGACAATGAATAACAAGGAAACACAGGGAAGTTACACTGAGGACGGTAAGGCACAGACACAGCGAGTAATCACGCAATGGCTAAGATACGTCAGAATCACACACAGCACAACAATCTACACTAACAAATGCAAACGGGGGCTATAAACACTCGCTCACAAGGCATGCTGGGACATGCAGATACCACCAGCGCTACACTACATATAAATGAAATAAAATATAATAAACCGAGGCTCATGCACCCGCAAGTTTCTAAAATGCGGCGCTTAAATACTGTTCAACAATACGCCACTGATTTTCTGAGGTTTTCCAGCTCCAAAAGTCCCAACTCACATCACCTCCTATCCTGTCACACTTTTCCCTCTCATGTCCCACCTCTGTCACTTGTGACGTCTCAGCTATGGCAGTTGGAGCTGTACTGTCACAGCTGCAGGATGCAGTGGATTGACCCATTTTCTTTGCCTCCTGTGCTCTTACCCCCCACCAAACTAAAATATTCTGTGGGTGAACGTGAGGATCTAGCCTGTATCTGGGCCTGTGAGCGATGGCACATGTACCTCTATGGCTGGGCATTTACACTGCGCACAGACCACCAGGCATTGACAGACTTGCTTGCATGAATTGGTACAGGGCGCAAACCACTCCGACTTTACCAGTAGTCAGAGTGACTTCAGCAGTACAATTTCACTGTGTTTCACCCCAGGTTGTGATAATATTGTGGCAGATCTGCTGTCCCACTCCACCCAGTATCCTGCAGTGCCTGACTCTCAGGAGCCAGACCTCATCCAGATGTTGCCCACACCACTGAAGGCAGCTGTCTCCATCGATGACATAGAAAATCTAGTTAGGGATTGTGCAGCCTGCCTTATAAGTGGGGAACATGGGCCCACCGGCACCACCCCCTCTGCAGCCTCTGCTTTGGCCTGCCCGTCACTGGGAACATCTCTAACTGGACATCTGTGGGGAACTACATGGAGTTCCACGCCACCAGTGCTTCCTTCTTTTCATGGATGATCTCTACTCTAAGTGGCCTGAGGTGGTCTCTACTGGCACTGTCACAGCACGGGAGGTCACTGACTTTCTAGACACCCTCTTTGCTCGATGGGGACTTCCTGTGTAACTGTGTGGTTGTTTGACTGTTTATTTTTTGAGGCAGATGGTAGACATAGAGTATCACTCAAAAGTTTGGACATGCCAAGCCGCCTACAAAGGAGAGTGATAGAGTGGAATGTCACATGACCAGGCCACCTGACCTAAACCCTGTAGAGATGGTTTTGGAGGAGTTTGCCCAGAGAGTGAAGGAAAAGCAGCCAATGAGTGCTCAGCACTTATGTGGGACCTCCTTCAGGACGGCTGGAAAGGCATCCCAGGAGGCCACCTCA